TCTATGCATGAATCAACATTCTGCCTATCAAGCTGCTACCTACCTGTGTGAAAATGGCGTTAGCTAGGGCATTTTGGTACAAATAACTGAGATGACTGAGTTTCTTTCTCTTGAGAAAAGATCTTTGGTTGATCCTAAATAGTATAGACTGGCGCCCGACCTGTCTAATGCTGCAGTAATTGTACAGGAATGAAGCACAGATAGATAGTTGTGTGTCCAGTGATTATTACCAAAATGTAAGCGATACAGCATTTATCACTATAAGTCATTGGATCTCTCAGAGCGTTGTCAGCAGGAAATAGACCGGGTGTTGGAAGGGAAGGATCGGGCCAGTTTTGACGACAGACACCACATGCCTTACATGCAGGTACATCATCACTTTGGTTTTTTGTAATTATTTCACTTTTATTTCATATGTTCACATGAGTCTAAGTGGCATAATAATTGCTCAGCAGCTTTGGAGATCAGTTTCAGTTTTTCAGTTTGCCTGGTTGTAGACATATTGCTGGTGGGTTCCTGTATTTCAAGTTTATTGGTCGTTTTTTTTGTGGCTGAGCTTTTGAGAGTCTGCATTGTTTTTCTTCTTCCCCAAGTCAGATAAAACATAAAAACATGTTGTTTAAATCCCTCTGCATCCAGGCTGTGATCCATGAAGTGCAGAGGATAGCCAACACTGTTCCACTTAGTGTTTTCCACTGTACGACCAAAGACACAGAGCTCATGGGATATTCTATTCCCAAGGTAAGAAGCAATTGGTGCTAAATCCTTTCTGGCAATAGTGTTGTGGAAACAAACCTCACAGTACTCTATACAAATTCTTTATAGCCAAGTCACACCACTCGGCAGCCATCTTGGCAACGCCTCTGGGCAGCTATTTCGGAATAACCATCAGAGTGAATGGGGAGAGAGCCGGAACTGCAGGTCACCAAGACATAAAAACTATATGAATAGAATCAGCAGTAAAAACTGATAAAAATCACTGAAAAAGTTTAACAACTTTGCCCTATAAGGTTTAAAAACGGTTTTCCCAGCTGGTTATACTTCAACTACGCATGTGTCACCACTTCCATGCATGCGCAGTAGAAGAATAACTGACCTTTAAGTCAGTGGAACAACACGGTTGGCTGAAATATGTTTCCCGCATTGGCTGTTAAAAGCAGACGATTGGCTTTCTAGCGGGAGGGGCAGGATAACCACCATCTTTGCCGTTACGAGCTTTCCTCAGAGTTGTATTGAGTGGCGTGTCTCCTCTAAAATGTCTCTGCTGTATAGCAGCTGTCTGTACCATACTTATGTAATGGCACAAACATTACTTTTACTTAGGTAGCTTAAGTGAATCTTAACTTCTTACAAATGTTTTGTACCTTCCTCTACCTCCTCCTCAGGGTACAATGATCATCCCTAACCTGACCTCACTGCTGAGTGAGGAGGGACAATGGAAATTCCCTCATGAATTCAACCCTGAAAACTTTCTCAATGACAAGGGAGAGTTTGTTAAACCAGAGGCCTTCATGCCTTTCTCCGCAGGTATGAGAGAGAACAACAAACAGCAGTATGAGACTTGTTATGGTATCACACCTGCAGTGACATGCACATATAGAGTTTAATCAAACTGTTATAGAGGTATTTCTTATGTCTCAGGTCCTCGGATGTGTCTTGGAGAGGGTCTGGCTCGTATGGAACTCTTTCTCATCATGGTGACGCTGCTGAGGATGTTTAAGTTCATCTGGCCTGAGGATGCAGGGGTGCCAGACTACTCTCCGGTCTATGGGGTCACTTTAACCCCCAAACCTTATCACATGAAGGTCCAACACAGGGCAATGCAGTAAGGCGGTCTGCAGACACATGGCACATGGCATCACAGTGGAGACTGACCCAGATTAACACAAGCAACTCCTGAGAACAAATATGCTGAATACAATACAGGGCTTTCTGTGCTACACCTAATGGAAGTTAACAGTACACATTGTGAAATGTGCCAATATGTGGTTATGGCACCCCAGAATGAATATTAAATTATGTTTTGACCTATCAATAGATCCTGCAGTGGGTATCAGGAATTGCTATAATTTTTCTAGCAGATACTCGAGCAGATACTTACATTCTGTAGCTATATTGTATTTACTAAGGTTCTGAAATATGAATGCCATGGCCTGCTCAGTAGTCCAGCCACCATCACTGTATCTGGTTCCACTAGCCTTATCAATAGCCTCTTGTTATCATAGACAACTTTGTGTCCTCAACAACCTGTATGCTCTGTAGAGTTCTGCAGGGTTCAATCCCTGATCCCATCATTTTCTCACTCTACAACGAGCCAGCTCTTTTAAGAGAACGATGGGAGCCAGCTCCAGTCTGAGAGCCAATTTCGGTTAATTATTAACCATTCTGTTTCATTAGTACGGTGTTATTTTTGTTATACAACTAGGAAAGTTATTCTTGACATCTGACACTTTTTAAACATCAATATGACAGAACATTTCAGTGTATTGCAGATGAAGAATGTTACATATTTATTTCTTGCAACAAATATGTAACTTAGGCAGTGAATAACAGAAGTGGTACTAATTGAATAGCTGTTTGGGAGCCAAAAGAGCAGACTCTCGGAAACGAACGTAGCCATCAGTAACGGGGTATTTACCATTTAACCATATATATATATATATGTGTGTGTGTGTATGTATGTGTATATATATATGTATAGACATATATATAGACATTGTATATATAGACATTGTTATAATGTTAAAATTGATGCTTTACTGTTGTGGCTGCTCCAGGTGTATAATTAATTTACATGTAGTTCCAGTAGTCAAGTTTATCATTACTGATGCATGAATGGAGATACATTTTAACTGCAGATATTAACTGCATGATTATGTACATTATGGATTAAACCGCTGATTTTTTTTGATTAATGGATTGTTTTGTTTTTTGTTTTGTAAAAATAAAAAAAATGAAATAGTGAGAAATGCTGTCACAATTACCCACAGCACACCTTCATAATTTTTGTTTTATCCAACCAACAGTCCAAAACTCAAAGTTATTAAAACGACATCGACATGACATCATGTTCTAAACCTAACTTATGGGCTAAAGTCAAAGTCAAGTGAACAGCTTTTCATATTGTGACTTGAAACACAATATTTATCCCATGCTACAGAGAAACAGCTAATTGGAGTTACAAATTACAATACAAATAGATCAATCACATTCCCATTTAGGGAACACACTCACGCGTTGAGGTTCTTTCAATCGCATGACCATGTGGTATACAGTAAAAGAGGACCTCTTTGAGCTGATCTTGTGTGGAAAAGGACCAATATAGAGTAACACAAATAAAGTAAGGAAAATGCCTGCACAAGAGAGAGGAAGACGAGTACCAGCACAAGGGAGAGGAGTGGCACAAGGATAAGGTGGAGGGAGAGGAGTCAGAATGTGTGGTGGTGCCCACAGAAGGGCCAGAGCTTGGGGAACTGATGAAATAAGAGCTACTTGCTTAGAGCATGTCAGAAAACATAGGCTATCATACAGAGAGGCTGATGAACAAGTACAGCCAAATCTCAGCCAGGACACAATGGCATCCATTGTCCAGACTTTTTGAGAAACCAACAGGTAGGATTTTGTAGGCCTCCTCCTGCCGCAAAGTGTTAATAATTTACCATGTATTCTAAAGACACTGCATTGCAAAGCATAATCTATAATCCATACAATATACTTTCAGCTGTATAAGGGCAGGCCTGACACATTTAAAATAATGTAGTTTCTGTAATTCCATCTGATGTTAGTGTTTTTATGACATTGCATGACAGAGCATCTCATTGTGATGAAGAAAAGAAGAAGACGAGACTATTATACATCACTGCAAAGCATCACAATTACAAAATTAAAGATGCAAGCAGCGTTGGGCGGGCCCTCGCACGTTTAGCATGTTGATGTGTGAGGTGGCCACATTGCAGATTCTGGAGCTCTGGTAGTGTGGCTGTGAATTTCCAACACGCTTCAGACGCTGAACAAATGTGTTAATCTTCACATCCTGTATCCCCTTTATGGCGCTACATAGCACTTCACACTACGACTACAAATGAATATGTAGATGTGTTCGGGGCAGGACTGTTACCAAGCACGTAAAGTTTGGTGCACATGTGAGCATGTACACTGAAGTTGAAATAACTTCCTCTTTCATGGCAAATCATTGATTTTCGACGCCACACCACGGGCACGCCGTTTCACAAAAACTCACCGTTTGTACAACTTTTAATCGTCAAAGGCTTTAGAGTAGACAGGTAAAACTTGATGTCGGTCGGACTAATTCTCTAGGAGGAGTTTCTAAGTATGGAGTGTGTAAAAAAATCAAAAACCCCCCATAAAATTCAAAATGGCTGACTTCCTGTTGTGTTTAGGACATCGATCCAAGAGGCTTTTTTGTACATCTGGACATGGTATATGTGCTACGAAAATTTCATACATGTAGGTAAAACGTGCCGTGGGAGCTGCTTCATTGAAGATCACTTCCTGTTGCCAGTAGGTGGCGCCATGACTATGGGTGAATGTTGTCTTGTACATATGTTTATGGCAGGACTCTTTTCGAACGTGTGAACTCTGGTACAGATGTGAGCATGTACAGTCAAGTTACAACAACTTCCTGTGTCATGGCGAAGAGTTCAACTTTGCCACCATGCCACCGACACAATGTGAACTGCAACTTGTTTTACAACATGGCTTTGACTTTGAGTAAATATTGGCATGTGGATGTGTTGATCAAAAGCTTTTCCTGCCCCAAGTGACATAGCAGTGATTTCGAGATTTCCAACTGTTTGGTTGTAACATAATGTGAAATAACTGTTGCATATTATTTGTTAATACCCGGCCTGAAATGAAGAACTTTAGCCAGAATCTTATAATCGCAGGAAAGCAGTTTTTCACTGAGGCCGGGTCTTAAGAGTAAATTACGTTGACAAATCTATTAATGAATCTCACTGATACAACTCCCTAATACAGAAATGTCTCAGGTTTGAAAGTAAAAAAAAGAAATCACCTTACTGTGGAGATTAAATACAAAACAGGTTAGAAAGTTTGATGGAATAGAACAGTACCGATGACATTAGTTATATTTAGAGAAAATGTTACATTAGCTGACCTGTAAGCTCACACTGTGTGCTCTTTGTGTCACTACACCTGTTGAAGGAGTGATTCTGGCAGATTATGGCTCTTTTTGGAGGGATCATCGTCGCTTTGCTCTGATGACTTTGAGGAACTTTGGTCTGGGGAAGGATTCCATGGAGGAGAGGATTCACGGAGAGCTGCGATACACCATTGATACACTGGAAAAGAGCATTGGTATAACTTTAATCGGTGACACCACAAATATTATAATATCAATTTCCATTTATGTTCATGTCAGTAGATTTTTATGGTTCCTTTTAAAGAGGTCTCCATTGTGTTCCATTGCCCTTTATCTCTCCGTCACTTTCTGCTCACTGTGTAAGCTTGTGTTGACTGGTTGATTTTGCATTGTGTATTGTTAGTGTAATGTTCTTTTGTATTGTTGTTCAGTGCTGTGTCATACTTCAATCTACATTTTGTCTTTTACAGGCAAAAGCTTCAGTCCTCGACTTATGTTTCATAATGCGGCTTCCAACATCATCTGCCAGGTTCTGTTTGGGACACGTTACGAGTATGATGATGAGTTCATCAAAGTGATCGTTCAATGCTTCACTGAGAATGCCAAGATAGCTAATGAACCATGGGCTATGGTGAGTCAAAGCATGTTGCCAATGTAACAACTCTGGCCATGTGCTTTAAGCAAAATTTGTTAATTTGCTCTAAACAAACAGTACTGCTAAGGCTGATGGGAATGTCATTAGTTATGTGGGTATTTGGTCATAAATGACAAATTAACATTTTGACCTCCAAGTGGAAGTAGATGAAAAATCAAAGGATCCCCAGAGTCATGAGCATTTATTCTCTGGGCAACAAGAATATCTGTCTGTGAAAGTTCTCAGTCATCAATTCTTCACGTCTTTGAGAATGAACCTTCTTTGGATGAATATCTGAATATCTGGCTAACAGTTGCCAAGAGACAGAATCAGAATTTTTGGATTCAGATAAACTAATGATTTATCTTTATTTTTATTTTATACAGCTGTATGACACTCTTCCCATGATTCACAACCTGTCACTGCCCTTCATAAAGGCCTTGAAGAATGCTAAGGTATTTTCAGTACCACGACGGTGGTTCACTTCTTACTGGGGTAGATCACCATGGTAACTTATGCTGAACGGCTAACGGCTGTGGTGTGAACTGGGCTGTTCTAGGTTATGTTCCAGACAAGAGCAATCAGCCCTCGTGGAAAATGACATCACCATAGGAAATCCCTCAGACTGTTTTCTAGGCTGCTTTTATGTTTGCTGCGGTGATGTGGAGAAACTCTTGTAGGCTATAGCGATATCTTACAGAGACTGATTAAAAGCCTTAGGCTATTGTAGGCTTACAGGTTTTTACAGTAAGCCTACTAACTGCTTTGAAATGTGTTTAATATTTTTTATTTGCTCCCACCCCGTTTCGCACAGTCTGTCGCAGCTGTTAAAATAAGTGAGTTTAATTTTTCTGATGAGAATATCATGAGCAATTTGGATATTGGAATTAATTTTAGGCCTAATATGAACGCAGGTTATTTATTTTAGATTAGTAACTTTCTTATAGGCTATCAATGAGACTGGTCATGTTCAGCCCCACTTTTGCGATGTAAGCTCAGGTAATGAGGTGAGTTTTCAGTAGCCTAAATGTTGAGATTCAGTGTTTCAACCACTATCTGAGCACATTTTATGGCATGAATGGATTTTTCATTTCATTGCTTTATGAAGTTTTTTAGAATAATGTTTGGAACACTTTTGAGTGTGTTAAATAAATTAATCTATTTTTTGAAGTGACAAGAAGTCTTTTACAGTGAAGTGGAACAACCACTTATTAAGTCTTGTAAAGTGGAAACCCCCAACACACAGCCAAGCTGTAAAGGGCTGATATTTTCATACAGCTCATAAGAACACATCAGAACAACGCATTATCATAGACTAAGTCTGTTCGTGTAGGCATTCACACTGTCTCCCTGCATGTGTCAGCTGCAGCTGTGTTACTTAGACTATGTAGTATTCGTATTTCTGTAGTGTTAGAGTTTGCTCTTCGTTTGTAAAATATGCGGCTCTGATGCCAGTGGACTTGTTCATGTCTGTGATGGTCATCTGCTGCTAAGCTCTTTAATGTGAACACGGTCACGGCTGGATTGGGAAACCCATCTGTGAGTTATTGAGTTGATAACCAGCATCGTGGTAACGCTTATCCCGACCACGATTGTTAGGGTTAGTTAAGCCAGATAACTAAAATATATCCTGGGTATATTGTAGGCCTACTCGCTTCGTGGTGCAGGCCCCTGAAATGAAAAATATTAGGCCCTAAATTTAGGAATATGTAAGACTAAACAAAGATATTAGCATCAATGGTACAATGGATTTATTTTCTCTAACATCACACATATATACGGTGACAACAATAACACTTTGTCAGTGGAAAAAAACTGAATGAATACAAATTAATGCTGACATATGTTTTCAGACTTGTCAGAATCTTGTGAAGACAGAGCACAAGAAGACCAGAGTGCCTGGAGAGCCACGAGACTTTCTTGACTGCTATCTGGATGAAATGGAAAAGGTGTGTTCGTGTGTATGGGGGTGTTGAAAGAGTCACCTCACTACCAAATGAATGAAGATGTGTGTGTTCGTAATTTGACTCTTTTCACAAGAGGAATTTTCATTGACACATGTGAACGTTGAATAGCTGAGGGTCTGGTTTGTCTCAGCCAGCAGCGAAGTTGACAAGGATTTATAGACAAATTTTAAGGTACATGACAAACTACTCTAAACTATTAGACAATAGGCCTATACAGAATGACATTTTTCATTTAAGCTTGTTTGTAAAAATTCGCCATTAGCCAAGCTAGCACATAAGAGCTTATCATTCCAGCAGTCTTTAGTAATTTCCCCCCTTTTATCATTGGGTTTGTAACCCATCCCTAACCCATTTTGTTCTCATGGCATAAAACTAAAATAAGATAACGTTTAAGTTAGTTGCAGTGCTGTGGATCATCCTTGAACATGTGAAGTACTGCCAATTGTCATTTTTCTGTTAAAGCTTGCACTTGGCGGCCCCAGGTACAGACACAGAGCACAGGAGAGTGAATAAAAGTTGACAGACTATTACAAAAAATTTGCAGTGATGTTGAAGGCAGGTAAGGCTTGGCGTGAGCACAGGACAGAAGCTGGCGAGGTCTGCTTTCCAAAGACTTTGGCTGAAGATCTGGGAATCCTGTAGCAAAGACAGCTAAGGTTACACAAGAGACTATAAATTGTGGATACTAGATCCACTGGAAACCAGAGATAAGAGATGTACTCAACCGTAAAATGGTATGGCATTATCTGGCAACAAGTTACAGGAAGCCCAGAGTATTTAAGTCTTGACTTGAGTGGAAGATTGAGGCCGGTATGTAGCTCTGACAGGTGTCCAGATTGCCGTCACAGTCAAAACACACCCACTCACATACACACACCCCGCAGACAGACAAAAAGGGAGGGGAACATGGGAGAAACAACAGAAAAGCCCCAGAGCCACTTCACTGGCTGTGACATTTTCATCTCTTAGCTCTCCTTCTTCTTGCTCTTTCAACCGCATAGTCTAAATTCCACATCTCTTTTTCAACTCTGTAATATCATGAGACCCACGGCACACAACAACACACACACACAGACCACGGCATCCTCCAACTTGTTAAGTTGTTGTTGTTGCACAGAAGTGATGTTGCTATTCTAACCGACATCGGCAGAGTTTTACTATTGTTTTTCTATCTAAAATGAGTATCTATGCATGAATCAATTTTCTGCCTAGCTAGCTGCTAACTACTGTACCTGTGTGAAAATGGCATAAGCTAGGGCATTCTGGTACAAATAACCAATAAATTGCTGTCTAATGCTGCACCTCCATGTATTCACATCTTTGTGGGCAGGAAATGTACAGGAATGAAGCACAGATAGATAGTTGTGTGTCCAGTAACTATTACCAAAATGTTTCAGCGATACAGCATTTATCACTATAATTCATTGGATTTCTTAGAGTGTTGTCAGCGGGTGTTGGAAGGGAAGGATCGGGCCAGTGTTGACGACAATAATTTCACTTTTATTTCATGTATTCACATATTTCTGAATGGCATATTAATTGCTAAAAAAATAAGAGTGAATTGCGTAATATGGGAACAATTCACAAAGGTTACCAGTCTAACTGCCACTCTAAATATAAGGTAATATAAGGTGAACAGAAACTGCTCAGTAGCTTTGGAGATCAATTTCAGTCACTGCTTCAATCCAATCAATTATGGTCTTGTTTGCCTGGTTGTAGACATATTGCTGGTGGGTTCCCGTATTTCAAGTTTATTGGTCGGCTTTTTTGTGGCTGAGCTTTTAAGATTCTGCATTGTTTTTCTTCTTCCCTAAGTCAGATAAAGCATAAAAACATGTTGTTTAAATCCCTCTGCATCCAGGCTGTGATCCATGAAGTGCAGAGGATAGCTAACACTGCTCCACTTAGTGTCTTTCACTGTACGACTAAAGGCACAGGCTCATGGGATATTCTATTCCCAAGATAAGTTTTGGCAATAGTGCTGTGGAAACAAACCTCACAGTACTGTAAAGCAATTGTTGGTACCATACTTTACTTGACTTATTCCTAGATTCACTTAAGCTACCAAAGTAGATAAAGTAATGGCACAAACATTACTTTTACTTAGGTAACTTAAGTAAATCTTAACTTCTTACAAATGTTTTGTACCTTCCTGTATTTTCTCCTCAGGGTACAATGATCATCCCTGACCTGACCTCAGTGTTGAGTGAGGAGGGACAATGGAAATTCTCTCATGAATTCAACCCTGAAAACTTCCTCAATGACAAGGGAGAGTTTGTTAAACCAGAGGCCTTCATGCCTTTCTCCGCAGGTATGAGAGAGAACAACAAACAGCAGTATGGGACTTGTTATGTATCACACCTGCAGTGACATGCACAGATTTTAATCAAACCATTATAGAGGTATTTTTTTTTGTCTCAGGTCCTAGGATGTGTCTTGGAGAGGGTCTGGCTCGTATGGAACTCTTTCTCGTCATGGTGACGCTGCTGAGGAAGTTCAAGTTCATCTGGCCTGAGGATGCAGGGGTGCCAGACTACTCTCCGGTCTATGGGGTCACTTTAACTCACAAACCTTATCAAATGAAGGTCCAACACAAGGCAATGCAGTAAGGCGGTCTGCAGACACATGGTACATGGCACCAGTGGAGACCCAGATTAACACAAGGCAAGGCAAGTTTATTTTTATAGTACATTTCAACAACAAAGTAATTCAAAGTGCTTTATATAAAACATAAAAGCAACAGGGAATTATAAAAAAGTTTTAAAAGTTAAATAGAAAATAAAAACAGGCTGGTCTCCCACCTTTGCTTATTTTACTCCTTTGATTCCCCATCTCCCACTCTATCCCCCCTTTAGTTACTTAGGGACTCTAACCCTAAGGGGACCCTAACACTTTAACACTTAGGGACTCTTACCCTTCCTTAGATACAGTCGTTACTGTAAATCCAGATTGACCACGCTACAAACTCTTGTAAAAGCGGTTGAGAAGCAGCCATTAAACTCCTGAGAACAAATATGCTGAATACAATACAGGGCTTTTTGTTCTACGCTTAATGACGAGTTAACAGTACACATAGTGAAATGTGCCAAAAGGTGGGTGAGCATACTTATGGCACCCCAGAATAAATATTATTTGATGTTTTGACCTACCACTAGATCCTGCAGTGGGTATCAGGCTTTGCTATCATTTATCTACTGAGCCTCCTTTACAGGTGAAACCACAGGTCTAACACAGCCCTGCCTTGACGTACCTTAAAGCTGCTGTTAAATCTAAAGTTAAGAACAGATACTTGGCAGCTTGACAGGCCTTACTTAGGTTCTAAAATATTAATGCCATGGCCCGCTCAGTAGTACAGCCACCTCACTGTATCTGGTTCCACTAGCCTTATCAATAGCCATTTGTTAGCAACCCACTGGAAAATAGTTTCACTATAACTGTGTATGAATGAGTTAAATGAGGACCAGACAGAGATCTTTCTCATTGGCCTCCTACATCATACAACTGTCACTGCCCAGTTCATCATCTTTCTGTCCACACATACCAAGAACCTGGGTGTTACATCTAATGGCGAGGTTTAAACAGGCAGGTAAATTTCATCATCAGGTCCAGCTTCTTCCAAATCAGGACCATCTCCAAAATTAGGAAGCAATCTTCTGATCTATGAAATGAAAGAATGAAAGAGTCATTCATGCATTAATATCATCCAGGCTAGACTACTGTAACGCCCTCTACCTAGGCATCTCTCAGGCTATTCTCAGTTTACAACTAATCCAAGTCATGATGTGGAAACAATATGGACGTTTTTGTATAGCATCTAGGTGATATTGTGTTATTTATGTGATACTGCTATTTAAGAATGCTGAAACAATTTGAAGCTTTATATTAGTGATTTTCTCTCAGATTTGTTGCTCCACTGCATTGCTTAAAACCACTAAAACATTGCTTTACCTGAATTGTTATCAGGGTTAATGCTAATAAATAGCTAATCTAGGTCTCTTTACGTCAATAGCCTAATAAACCTAGAACCTAATAACATATAACCCATACCAGATAACATATGCACTACGTGAATTCAGCATTTACTTTGGTCCGTCATGTTTCTGCGTAATATGGCATCAACTCAGCCCATATGACAGTTGAAACAGGTTTTACTTGCTCTCATCATGGGCCATTAACAGATCCCTTTTTAATGCATTTTCAATGTAAGTGATGGGGAACGAAGTCTACAGCCCTCATATTGTGCAAAACTGTATTCCAAAGGTTATTTGAAGTTAACCACTTGACGCCAATTGTTGCGAATTTGCATCATACCTCTTCCTTGCAGACTGCAAGCCAAGATAGCACATGGATTCCCCCAATGCCTGTAGGTGCATATTCAATACGTACCTAGGAACCTTTTGCAAGCCCTGAGTTCTCGTTTATACCTTTTGTCGCTAATTTGCATCATACCTACACATACCTGAATTTATATCTTTTCTATGTTCTATAGACAAATTAACAATCGTAACTTAATTTAACATCAGCTTTAAAGCAAATGACAAAAAATAATTTTTTTAATATTTTGATTCAGGAGTTAAGGGGTTAATATGAGGTTTCAACAGTCTGAGTTAGACAAAGCTTGTGGATATCTTCCAAAGTTCCACTGTTTTTAGCATATAATTCCCTCTTTGCATTTCCCTGGACAGTCTTTCCTGTTGAGCTGCATTGGAGGATAGTAACACCAAGAGGGAATTTTGTATTAAAGACATATCTGTAGTTGTCTCTGTTACTGTGGATTCTATTGAAGTCCTCTACCTGCTCGTTGTTAATTCCATTCCAAGGTCAATAGTTGGGGATCCTGTCATCTTCCACTTATGCTCTTGCCGACTCTCGAGGTAAGCTCTTTTTCTTATTTGCTGTAAATGGTGCAGCCTATCAAACTGCTGCCACCATGAATTGCCAGACCATGTTGGCCCCACTGGAGTCTATTTCAGCTGTCTTTCCAGGCCATCACTTGGTCTTTCCCTAGTTGTCAGGTGCCCTATTCACTGCAGTCACAAGCTCGTGCTATTTAAACAATCGTTACTCATTGAAGAAAACTACTCTTTTCACCAAATTCCACCTACATTCGTCACCTACATAGTATGGAAACAGTCTTAGTAAGAGTGACTATCCTGGTCCTACCTTACCTAACTGCTGCTTTCAATACAGTTGATCACTGCACTCAACTGGCTTTCATCCTAATCGACAAACAAGAAATTTCAGATAATCATAGACAACATTGTGTCCTCAACAGCGCGTATACTCTGTAGGGTTCAATCCTTGGTCCAATTCTTCTCTCACTCTACTGTTACCTCCAGGCAACCTGGTTAGCTAGTTCACTTGCATCTCCCACGACTGCTATGTTGATGACATGCAGCTGTATTTTTCAGTTAAGCCATGCGATCTTGGTAACATTGGTGCCCTCCATGACAGTCTGGCTGCTATAAAGGAATGGATATCACTCAACTTCTTTCTGCTAATTCCAGACAGAAGTGAGGTTTTCCTTCTTGGTCCTAACGAGTTTGTCTCTGACGTGAAACCCTGTATTGGCCCTCTTGGCATCAATGTTAAACCCTCCTCGAAAAACCTGGATGTAATCTTTGAGAAAAACCTGAACTTTTACCTTCAAATAAATATGCTTCTGTAAACATGCTTCTTCGGACTCCTGAACATTGCAAAAACCAACGCTAACAACCAGAGAGCTAGAATTACTAATTAATAATGTAGACACAGAATCCATACCCATTTCTCAACGTCATGACTTGAGCCGGCGCTGTCCTATCTGCAGACCTTAGATCCTACATCGTATCTTATTTACTGTGACAGCTTACAATACACATAGTGAATTATGCCAATCAAGCATCATATCTACCAATCTTCCAATCAAGTCAAGACATCATATTATATTTGTTTAGGTTAAGCTTTTAGTGCACAGTGCATCTATCACGTAGATAATTCTTACTGCAAACTCGTGTAATTCATTGAGATGTCCTCCCACAAAGAATGAAAGCGTCAGACATTTGAGCAAGTGCCCCAAAACAACATGTGTTTACATTGAAGTGACAAAGCCGCCATAGCGGCCGTGGTTCTTATGTGAGCATGAGGAGGTCAAGTGACGATGTTATAGAACAACAAAGTCCACATAAGGGAGCAGCTTGAGGTGAATGGATGTGTCAGCAAACATCAGACTTCAACAAGAGAGACTGCTGTATGTTTCTCATTTTAAACCAAGAGTCAACTGTATTATTTTTAAAGTTTCACAAAGATTTATTACTGTAACCATGTCAACAAGGCCCCTAACCTTAATGAAATAGTTATTTTAACCCAAACCATGATGTTTCTCTAAACGAAACTGTTTTTATGCTTAAACCTGGCCAAACCTTTAACCATGGAGTTGAAAAAGAGATCATAAAACAGATTTATTTTTTAACAGTGAATTGCAAACAGTTTTGAAATGAACAGACAAATGATGTTGTCGTGCCAATAGGGGTGTCAGATCAGAAAATGCTTGTAAACTTACTAATTACTCATCTATAGAAATGACATTATTTAAAATGTATATTTACTGTTTTCCATGACATGCTTTGATGTATCATTGATTGATAATGGATTATGTTTTTAGTCAGGTGTTTAACATTCCTTGCATTAGTAGTTTAATGATATGCATTTATCAGTTTAAAAAAATAAACTGCTACAATATCTTGTCTTCCCATTATGTTTCTTTTTTGGTTGATAGACTGTACATTAAACACTATATGGCAGAAATAAATGAATACATACGGTGGTGCGGTGACAGTGTTCTCAATTGCAGCCTAAAAGGGTTTATTTTTCTCAAAAATGATGATAGAGTAGAATTATCTGACACAGTGTAAACTATACAAACACTGTTTTGCACAACTAAAGGAACAGAAAGATGGTATAAAAACAAACTTCATAAAAGGTATTACAGATTCATTGTGGGGCTGTTTTGGGCTATTCAAGTGTACCTAATAAACATAATTGAGAGAGCCCAGAGCAGGTCCAGAGCAGGTCCAGTGGGGGGAATCCAGGCGGGCTGGGGAATCCAGAATCCAAGCAGAGCAGGAATGGAGCGAAGACAGGAGTCAGGTTTCCGGCAGGGAGTCTGCACACAAAACAACAGGGTTAGGGGGTGTTCAATATGACAAGATCACAAAATGCAAAGGCTAGAAGATAGACTGACTGAGCAGTTTTAGACTAAAATCTGGCGATGAATTGCAGGGACGATCAGTTATATATGGACAGGATTGATTGATGATGATTGTAAAGATGAAGCGCGGCCGGGACTTGACTCCCATGCACCTGTAATTAAACCACATACGCACAGGGGGAGGGAGAGAGAGAGACTTGCTCACCGGGCTGCGGCAGGCCTGACAAATATGATTGTAGCAATCACATCCATCGACTTCCACTGCATACTGAAACTGCCCTTTTCAGTGTTCACTGTATTTCTAGGATGAAGGAAGGCATGTGAGTGTGAACTGAAGCAGTTTTGGGTGTCACTGTCTGTGGTGCAGATTTAATATCCTAAAACAGATTTTCCTTGCTATCTTTTAAAGAGTTATAACTTTACTTTGTGTCTTTT